CCAGGACAGATCTGTTAGTTCTTTTAGCAGTCCACGGTACTTTCAGCATTCTTCGCCAGCACCACAACTCAATAGCATCAACTCTTCTTTGGTCTTCCTTATTCATTGCTATTTCCCTGGCCAGTTCTTTCAGAAGTGGACGGCCTCTTCCTTCTTCCTAGTCTGTCTCAGTCTATAAACTGAAACCTTATGAATAGCCCATCACATTAGAAGGTGCATAATGATTGTCCTAAATTTTAGTGATAATAAGATTGGTCACTAGGTTCAGGTGTCAGTAGTTTGTGGTTGTTGTTGTTAGGTGCTGTTGAGTTGCCTTCGACTCCTAGCGACCCTACGCACAGCAGAACAAAACCGCACCCGGTCCCACGTTAGCTCTACGATCCCTGCTATACTTGAGCCCATAGCCTCAGCCACTGTGTCAATCCATCTCATTGAGGGCCTTCCCCTCTTTCGTTGACCCTCCACCTTACCAGATAGTTTAATACACTGAATATAAATTTCCCCATACATTTTCCCCTAATGAATTCAGTTCTTTTGTTCTTTCTGTATTTATTAGCTGAAATTCTATAAAGAATTTTTTCAAATCTGCTATTTGATTACCTAGAGATAATATGTATAATATAGATAGGAAAGAACCTTGTTTATTTCTCCTTATTTATCAACATTTAAAGGACTACACCTAGCAATCTCCAAAGATGACCAAAGAATTGTTAGTTTTATGAACTCATCAATTTGTATATATTTGTATTGCAAGCTGTTGCAGTCTTTATTCTTTTTCACATATAAATTGTCTCATATATTGTCCCACAAAGTTACTCCAGTGTCTTTTACACCTGACTCTAATAGCCTTTGATAGCTTCCTTGTGCAATAAGTTATTCCAGGCCCATCGTATACATTCCTGTTCCCCACCAATAAACAGCCATTTTTTTCAAGGACCCTGGTTTCTTCTAGTGGGAATTAGAGATCACAATCTGAACATTAATAGCGCTCATTGCTATTGAGTTGTAATTATTTCTTGGCCTTTTCAGTGACAGAATGAAGAAATAGGTATCTTTTGGAAAATAATTTCATATAAATATTTCTAGTGTATGTTAAAGATTACAGCATTTTAATGTAATTTCTTTAATTTTATGCATGTGCATCACTCCTTATGTGCAAAAACGTCAAGGAGGCCACATGTTCTGACCTCCTCTAATCCAACAAGAGAAAGACAGGATTACCAGCAGTAACCCAAGGCCTATTCCTGCCAGGCCAGACATGCTGCCTCCCTCCAGCCCTTTCACCAACCGTTTTTCCCAAAGCACCCACCACCTCACTCCTGGGTTCGATAATTTGCTGCAGTGGCCACACAGAACTCACAGATTATGGGATTTATTAGGGAAGCACCACAGGCTACAATTCAAGTTCAGGAAAAAATGCTCAGTCTCTCTCCCAGCCCACTGTGCCTCAGCCAACAGTCTCTCACAGTCTCTTTCCCAGCAGTGCTGGTCCCTCGGTGTCTTACTCAGCAATGTGTGTCTCTTGCGTCTCTTTCCCAGCAACACGTGTCTCAGGAACCTGGATCTCTTTCAGCAGCACGTCTTCCTCAACCAGCAGTTTGAGAGAGTTCTGCCTCTAAGAGGCCTCCTTTTGAGCCCAGCACGGTGCTCAAACTAGCCAATTATAGCATCAGAAATCTAAGCACCTGAGAGAGAGTGGGCACCTCCCAGAACATTGTTTTGTGCCACTCCCAACAGAAATACTCCAGGTGGACACCTTCAGCAATCAGGAGCTCCTCAGTTGCTCATAGCAAATCCCACCTTGGAGTTTACAAAGACTTATGGATAGAAAAGCCACACAAAGTAATTTACTATACCACATGATGATACTGACATTACTTCCTTATACTACATTATATATGTAATAGCTTCAAAATATAGCAACAGTATTACTGCTAAGTATAAGATTTCTTTGTAATTCTTTTTATGCTTAGGAGATATCTCATTAGGGATGTACAGTCAAAGTCAATACAAAAGTTAGAAGCAGAAAAATAAAAAATGCGAAATAATAGAACAGAAATAACATCATATACTCAGTGTGACAGTTGAAGTGTTCGTTCTTTGTGATGTTCAGAGTGTCCTATCTTTGGCCTGAGAGAGCATGATCTGCACATTCTCACATTTACTGAGTCATTGTGCCAGATGGGGCACCTTGCTTTACGTGTTCTACTGCGTTTACTTTTCACGATAACCCTAGCAGGTAAATACTGCTAGTTCTGTTTGTGTCTGAGCCATTCAAACCTGTATTGATAATCTAATCAGTGCGTATTATTTCAATCCCCAGTTAAAAGGAGATTTTTAGATTGGGCTTAGATCTTTAT